GCTTTTTCTGCTTATGTGGTGCTGAGGAATTGAACCCAGGGCCTCATGCATGCAAAGCAAGTGCTCTACCACTGAGCCACCTTCCCAGCCCAACAGTTGGTATCCTCTTGAGGACTCAGTTTCCCCATCTGGCAATGGGGCCTGCCCCCCCCCCCCGCAGCCCTGGCACGTAGCATTTGAGTTGCTTGGGCAGCAGGTGGGTGTGGTGGGGCTGGAGGCTGCTGCCAGCCGGGGTCCAGGTGGGTAAGCAGAGTGTATGAGGAGCTGGAACCACAGGGCTCCCCAGCCTCCTGCCTGGGCCTCCACCTCCCCTCAGCCTCCAGCTCCTCCGGCCCGTTCCCGTTCCCTGCCTGCTCAGGGCTCAGAACCGCAGCCGCCACCACCCTGAACTGCATCCTGTCCCAATGGGCAAGGAGGCTTGCAAGCAGGAAGGGTTTGCAAAGGAATCTTTTCCTTATGCAGTCTAGGAAGCTAGCTGCTCTATTGCATAAACCATACCAACAGTCCTTTTTCCACTTAAAAAAAATGTATTCTTGTTTTCATTCTTTTTCAGGTAATCACACTTTTTTTTTTTTTTTTGCCCAGGGTGGGCCTCTGACCATGATCCTCCAATATACAGCCTCCTGTATAGCTGGGATCACCGCATGACCCGCCGTGCCCAGCTTGATTGAGATGGGGGTTTTCACTGGCCTCAAATGTCCATCTTCCCAATTTCTACTTCCTGAGTAGCTGGGATTATAGGTGTGAGCGACCACATCCAGCCCTAAAAATGAATTTTTTTTGGCCTGTTGTCTGAACCTGTCTCCCATCTCCCCATCTGTGAAAACAAAGTGACCATATGATGGACAGGTGAAGAGGGACAGCTGAGGAAACTGAGGCACCAAGGGGAGGAGGTGACCTGGAGCTGGAGCTGGGGTGGAGCAGATCATCCTGGGGATGGACACGGCTCTGGCCGCCTGCTTCAGCCTGGCCTCCCCGGCGGCCAGCACTGGAAGCTGGAGCCTTGGTCCCGCTGGCTGCGCTCACTGCAGAGGCTGTGGGGCGCTGCGAGGGGAGGGAGGAGGTGGCCTGATATTGGTTCAGTCAGGGCCGGGGGCCCAGGTGCCTCCCTGCCCTGGTGGCCTCTTGAAGCCCAGGGCAAGGACAGGGCCTTAGAGCCCCCCCTCTTTGTGACTCCAAGAAAGCAGCTCTACCTCTCTGAGCCTTTGTCTTGACTTTCGTCCTATGTGGAGTTGGCGGCTCAGGTCTTGGGCTGCGCCGGCCCGTGTGCAGCAGGGGGACAGGCGGGGTCCTGTCCTTGCCTTCCGTTCTCCCATCCCGCTGGCCTCCTCCCAGCCGGCCAGCGCGGCCCACAATTCTCTCGAGATGGGGCTCCGGGCGGGCCGAGAGGTTGAGTGCACCCTCAGAATTTCCAGAGAGAGAAATCCCAGAAGGGGTCAGGTTCACAGGAGGCGGGTGCAGGGGTGTTGGGGGAGCGGAGGGCCAGCCCGGATGTCGGGGCTCCGGGGCTCCGTGTTCCTGTAAATAATTAATTAGCCCTGCTTGCTTGTTTGTTTAGCATGAGGAATGCTCCCCCACTGCGATGCATTTATTGCCGAATAAATTTAAATAGCTAATCTTCCCTTCATGAATATTACAGCTCCCTAAATAGTCGCCCACGGCCTCGGTGCCCCGCGTGGTGGGTGGCCTCCATGGGAGCCGGCTGCCCGGCACCCGCTTCCCCTGTACCCCAGGACTCCCCGCCTTCTTCCTTCCCACCGTTGGCGGACACATTGGGCTGAGAAGGGCTTGGGGGCCACCGTGGCCCAGTGAGATGTGGGGGAGCTCTGTCCACAGGGGGGCAGGTGGAGCTAAGAATCAAGAAGAGGGTCAGCGCTGCTTAGGGGCCAGGGCTGAGGCCTAGAGGGCTTGAGAGGGAGTTGGGGGGCCGGAGGCCGGGAAGCACATAGTGACAGGAGAGCTGGGGGTGCGGGAGGGGTGTGGTGGGGGCGGGGGGGGGGCAGGCCCTGTGCTGCTGCAGACAGGAGCCAGGCTGCTAGGAAGGAGGGGCTGAGGGGCTGAGACAACAGGTGGAGAGAAACCTTCCAGAAGGATCTGGATGAAGAGGCGTGGAGGTGGGGGTGGGGGTGAAGGCTCTTTGGGGTCTTAGGGGAAAGGGAGACCCTAAGTTCAGAGTAGCTCATCTATGACCTAGGCCCTTTCTCTCTCCTTGCCTTACTTTGTTTTTATTTTTGTTTGTTTGTGTTTTTGGGTCCGGTCATGGGGCCTGAACTCTGGGCCTGGGCGCTGTCCCTCAGCTCTTCAGCTCAAGGCTAGGGCTCTATCACTTGAGCCACAGCGCCACTTCAGCTTTTTTCTCTTTTGCTTATGTGGTGCTGAGGAATCGAACCCAGGGCCTCATGCATGCAAGGCAAGCGCTCTACCACTGAGCCACCTTCCCAGCCCCTGTGTTTTTTTTTTGTACCAGGGCTTTTGTGCTCAAAGCTAGATCTCAACTGCTTGAGTCACAGCTCCACTCCTGGCTTTTTGGTAGTTAACTAGAAATGAGTCCCACAGATTTTCCTGCCTGGGCTGGGCATGAACCACAATCCTCAGATCTCAACCTCCTGAATAGCTGGGACTACAGGTGTGAGCCACCGACTTCAGGCTTCAGTTTCTCATGCTAGCAGGGAACGGCAGTCCCTCCTAAGGGACCCAGTCAGTACTTAGTGCTCAGGGGAGGATTCAAAGTGGAGTCTGGCAGAGTCCAGAGCTTCTGTGGGCCACTGAAGAGGGGCATTCCAGGCCTGCTAGACAGATGACAGGAGCCATCCCAGGTTTTCTGCTGACTGGGGGTGAGGACAGACTGAGGCAGGAAGATTGAGAGTTCAAGGCCAGGGTGGATTCACAGTGACACATCGTCTTAAAACCTACCCTGGTGGTGGCTCATGCCTGCAATCCTAGCTATTCAGGAGGCTGAGGTCTGAGGATCACAGTTCAAAGCCAGTCTGGGCAAGGAACATCCATGAGACTCTTTGTTGTTGTTGTTGTTGGTTGTGGGGCTTGAACTCTCGGCTTGGGCGCTGTCCCTGAGCTCTTCAGCTCTAGGCGAGTGCTCTACTGCTTGAGCCACAGCGCCACTTCTGGTCTTCTAGTGTTTTATTGGAGATAAGAGTCTCACTGCCTTTCCTGCCCAGGCTGGGTTTAAATCATGATCCTCAGATCTCAGCCTTCTGAATAGCTAGGATTATAGGCGTGAGCCACCGGCGCCCAGCTGGATCATGTTGTTATGACCAGCCAAGGCAAAGCTAGCACCAAGACCCTATCTGAACAATAAACTAAAAAGCAAAAGGACTGAGGATGTAGATTGAGTGTAAGGCCTGGAATTCACACACACACACACACACACACACACACGAGCGGACTCAGTTCTGTTAACCCCAGGAGGTGGGCCCAGAGAGGTTGAGTGACATACAAAGTCCCACAGCTCCGGCTGGCAGAGCTGGGATTTGAACTCAGGTGGCCTAGCTCCCATACCCCTGCTGTTGCACACCGTGCGGGGTCACCAAAGGCACCCCACTCAGAACAGATGTACTAGGGGTCAGAGTGTGAATTCTGGGCCAGCCACTGGCTCCAGCCCTGTCTCAGAAGTGGGGGGGAGGGCGGTCTGCAAGGACCCCAAGCCACTCCCAGGGTTCCGCTAACCTCTCCATCTGCCTACCCCTACCCAGGTCTCTCTGGGAAATCACCTGGTGCCGGCTCCTGGGTGAAGTCACAAAGCTAGGTTTAATTGGGCCCCACAGGACCTAAGAGAATGTACCAGAAAAAAATAGACACCAGCCTGGCTGATGTCAACAGCTGTGCAGCAGGTCGCCGTTGTGGGAGAAACGGCCTTGGCTGTGCTGCTCTAAAATGGGCATTCTTCCTTTTTTCTTCCTTTCTTTCCTTTTTGAGTCAGTCGTGGGGCTTGACCTCAGGGTCTGGGTGCTGGCCTTAAGCTCTTTCTGTTCAAGGCTAGCACTCAACCACTTGAGCCACAGCCCTACGGCTTTTTGGTGGTTCATTGAAGAGTCTCGCAGACTTTGCTGCCCCAGCTGGCTTTGAACCTCCATGCTGAGATCTCAGCCTCCCATTCAGGATTACAGGCGTGAGTCTGGAGCCCAGCTGTAGGTCCTTCCTTAAACTAGCCGCCGCGAGGGCAGGAAGGCCTGGCACACACGCGGGCGCCATCAGCCTTCCGAGGTGGTCATGTCCCTGTCCCCGTTTTGCAGGCGAGACGCCTGGCACGCAAGGGGGGAAAGGTCTTGACATTCAGGAAAACAGGATCTGCCCTCGGCCCGTTTGGCGGCGGCAGAGTCTCCTCAAGTTGTTTATCTGGGCCGGGGTCCCCAGGGTGGTTCGCCGGGGCCTGGTGCCGCCCTGGGATCCACGAGCCCCCGCCTGGCGCCAATTAAACGGATGTGCGAGCTAACGAGGCGGCTGGCCCTCGTTAACGCGGGGTGCGCGCGCGCCGGCCCCCGCCGGGACACCTGCGCCGCCGGGCGCCCCACCCTCGCCGCGGCTCATCGGTCGATTGCCACGAGGTGGCCTCGGTGTCCTCATCTGTGAAATGGCCCCGGAGGGAGCGGCGATTAGGTGCAGATGCGGGGCGAGCCTCCGGGAGCCGCCGGGAGGAGCGGGGCGCGGCGGGCCTGGCGCGCCCTCTGCCGGCCGCCCCGCGCCGCTTCCCGCCGGGCTGGGAAGTGTCGCGCCCGCGGGCCTGGGCCTCGGTGAAGCGGGGCCGCGGGCCTGACGCCTCCGCACCCGGGGCGCCCCCGGCTCACTTCTCCGTCCCCCGCAGTGGACGGCTGCATTCATCGGGCCGCCGGACCCCTGCTCACCGACGAGTGCCGGACCCTGCAGAGCTGCGAGACCGGCCAGGCCAAGATCACCTGCGGCTACCGGCTGCCGGCCAAGTGTGAGTCCTGCGGCCCGGGCGCGGGCGAGGGCGCCCAATCTGAGCGGCCGGGCTGGGGAACGTCGGAGGCCGGAGGCAAGCGGGGGAGGCTGCCGCTGTCGGGGTCGCTTCGGGCCCCACCCATCCCGGCGGCGGGCGGGCACCGGCGGACCGCGCCTCCGCCCCTCTCGCCTGTCCTCCTGGGGAGAAGGCGGCCTTCTGCCCAATCCCCGGCCAGGACGGCGGGCGAAAGCCAAGGAGCCAAGGGGCGCGCGGAGCCCCTGCCGTCCTGACCCGTGGTCCCCGCAGACGTCATCCACACGGTGGGCCCCATCGTCCACGGAGAGCCCAGCGACAGCCAGGCGGCCGAGCTCCGCAGCTGCTACCTGAACAGCCTGGACCTGCTGCTGGAGCACCGGCTGCGCTCGGCGGTGAGGGGCGTGGCGGGCGCGGCATGGCGGGGGCGTGGCTCAGGGCGGCGGGGCGTGGCTCAGGGCGGGCCCTGACCACGCCCCGCCCCCTCTCCCCAGGCGTTCCCGTGCATCTCCACTGGGGTGTTTGGTAAGTGGGGTCTGGAAATGCGGAGGGACCCGGTTGGGCAATGGGGACCCCCGACGCGGGGAAATGGCGGGAGCTGGAGGGTCCAGCCCGGGGCTCACGCGCCCTGCCTCGCCCCCAGGGTACCCCAATGAGGCGGCCGCGGAGGTGGTGCTGACCACGCTGCGGGCCTGGCTGGAGCAGCACAAGGACAAGGTGGGACCCGGCGCCCGGCGGAGCGGCCGGGGAGGGAGCACAGGCCCGGGGGGTCCTCTTGGGCTCACCCTCCAGAGAAGGGGCAGGCGGTGGGGGGGAGACTCGGGCCCAGCTGAGCTGCCCCGGTGCAGGTGGAGCGGCTGGTCATCTGCGTGTTCCTCGACAAGGACGAGAGCATCTACCGGCAGCGGCTGCCGCACTACTTCCCGCCGGGTAGGTGCCCTGCCCCCTTTCCTCCCCTCCCCCTTGGGGCGGGCGGCTCACTGTCCTCTGCCTTCCAGCCTGAGGCTCCTGCAGCCACCAGACCGGGACTGGTAAGCAGGGCCTGGCCCGGTGCCACCCGACACTAACCTGGTCCTCTAACACTGCTCTGCCCTCCCGTCCCTCAATGCAGGAGGTGGGGAGCCAGGGAGGGGCCCTGGGGGGCCTCCACACCCTGGGCTCTCTTTGACCCCTCTGTTCTACCCTCAGACTCGCCTGGGCCTGACGGGCCTTGCTCCCAGCTCTGAGGTGTCCGGAGTCAGCCATTTTTGCAGCTGACCACCCTCTCCGTGCTTACCTTCTGCGCGCCCGGCCCAGCCCTGCCCAGCAGAGCCTGCTAATAAAGAACCGTTGCAGCCCCATCCTCGGAGTGCTGGGGCTAAGGGGGGACCCCAAGGTGGGCCGGGCCAGGGGATGGGCCTGGCTTGGCTGAGCCAGGCGGGTGAAGGCACAGGCCACACGGCAGGGTGGCAGCACTTGGTATTTATTGAGGGCCTGCCCCAAGGAGCTCACAGCCTGGGGGTAAGAGCCGGCAGGTGCTGGGGTGAGAAGGGAGAAAAGGCAAAGGCAAAAAGGCAGGCAATGCAGACACTGGAACCCAAGCAAAGGGAGGTGCAGCGCAGAAACAGGCCGGGATGCAGGGGGGGAGGAGGAGCCCCTCCCACACCAGGCCAGCCCCACCCAGTGAGGGTGCCTAGCTCCCCCTGAGCCCACCCATCGCCGAGGCCCTTTTCTCCCTGGACTCCCAGTGCAAATCCTCAGTGGAGGGCCGAGGCTGGGGTCCAGGCCTCTGGACCAGCAGGATGCAAGCAGCCTAGGAGTGGCAATGAGGACGGAGGGGGGGGGGCGCCTCGGAAAATCCCCAAGGAACTTGGATTCCTATGGCAGCCTCTGGGCCAGCTATTGAGGGAAGGGAGGAGGTCTACAAAGCAAGCAAGAACGACTTCAAGGAACCAGAAAGGGTCCCCTAAGGCCTAACCTAAAACCGCTCCAGGTGGAGAAGCTGGGAGGCCGGAAGGAAGGCAGAAGGATCCACCCGGGGGAGGGGGCAGCCAGACACACAGCAGCCAATAAAAGGAGGGGGGAGGGGGAGAGCAGAGCAGGGACACACACACGTGACTCACCACCAGCATCCCCTTTAATAAAACATGGAAGGTTGTGACAGGAAGAGGGAGGAAGTGAAATATGACCATTTACAACCACAAAAAAAAAGGAAAAAAAAAAACCAAAAAACCTCTGTACATGTCTAGCGCCTGGCAGAGGGGAGGCAGGCAGGGTGGCGGCAGGCCAGCCCTATTTGTAGAGGATGTCGTAGTGTCCCGGCCGGTAGAGAAGGTAGACCTTGGGCTCCGAGCCTTCGGGAAAGACATGCGGGTTGGTGGTGCCACCCTCTCCGCGGTCCATGTACTCCACCTGGATGGACACGCTGAGAGCCTGGGCCAGCGCGATGATGTGGATGTGGTCGCTCTCCTTGCACATGGGCTCCACCTCCTGCGGCACAGGTGCATGTCAGACCCCTTCCAACACCTCTCCCAGACCCCCAAACCCTGTCACCCAGATGCACCTGCCCCCAGCTCTTGCTGCCCTGAGGCAAGAGTGAATGGGTGAGGAGGGGAAGGGCGGCACCTGCTGGCAGAACTCCTTAACCGTCCGCCCGCCCTCGATGAAGTGCTCGAAGAACTTGCTCTCCCGCTGCAGGTAGCCGGAGGTGAGCAGTCGCAGGTAGACCACAAGGTAGTCGGAGGTGCTCTGGTCATTGAAGGAGGCCAGCAGGTCAGCTACTGAGGTCTGCTTCTCCACCTGCTCGATCAGGTCCATAAACTGCCCCACGGAGGCACAAAAGGCAAAATGAGGGAGCCGGAGGGCTCAACCCCACCGGGGGGCCCGGCCTCCCCCGGGCCAGCGGGAGGCAGGAGCTGGGGCTCACCGTGTTGTGGAAGTCCTCGATTGTGAACTCAGTGAAGCCCTGGGACACCAGGTCCTCTTTGCTCTTGGCAGACACAGCCTTGAACCTGTGGAGGGAGAGGAAAGGAGGCTCACAGTCAGCACTGTCCCACCTCAAAGCCACCCCCAAGTCAAGTGGAAGTCCAGCCTCTGGCTGGTGAAGGCAGGGGTGGGAGCCCTCCCTCCTCACCGCTGCAGCTCCTTGCTGTCATCTAGCAGTGCCTCCAAGTGGGAGAAGCCAAACGCCCTGTAGAAGCAGTTCCCATCAGGCCTGGTCTTCCGGATGTACGAGTACTTTTTATGGAGGTCCTGCAGAGGGGCACCCCAACAACCCATCAAGAGCAACCAGAGCAAGAACCAGGGCTGGCCCAGAAATCACCCTGACAAAAAAAAGGCCACACCTCCAGGCTGCTAGATGTGGTGGAGGGGTACCCCTTGAAATCGAGTCCCCTGACAGTAGCCCCAGGAAGCAGTGCACTTCTGTGTGCACTAGCTGTGTGCAGCACCAGCCACAAGCAGCCCCGCCACGCTACTGGCTGCATGATCTGCCCTTGAACAACTCAGTTTTTTGAGTCTTTCCACCCATGCAAGTCAGAGCAGGGGTGCAGGCTCCACCTCTGCTCCGCGGAGGTCTGCACAGCCACACCCTTTTCCCCAGACCTCTGAGGCCAAGCAGCTCCTACTTCCAGCCCCCCTGAGCCCACCTGCTGCTACCTCTCCATTCCACTCGTCCACTTTCCTCCCTACCCAAGTGGGATTTCTATCTCCCACACCTCCTCACTCGGGCTGTTGGCACTGCCTGGCTGGCAGGCACACAGGGCACCACCCCTCAAGCCCCTCCCTCAGACAAAAGCCTTGAATCTGCACACCTCTCCTGCCAGTCCTTCTGTCTCTGCTGCTTAATTAAGCTGGCCCATCCCTTCCCGGGGCTCAAAGACACCCCGGCAGTGGCTCTGCCATTCTGCAGCCCCTCTGCTCTCCCTGCCACCTCACACCGGGCACCACATAAGCACCAGCCAGGTCACAACTCCTCTGGGAGGCTTCTGCCCCAGTCAAGGTCACACATGTCCTCCCCAGGTCGGCCTTTCAGCAGCTCTGATGTCATACCACGCCCCAACTACGGGGTACCCCACTCTCTGCCTTCAAGATGGATAAGCCACCTGCCTGCAGCCAGCTGTCCACCTACCTGAGTGGGTGTGCAGAGTGCCCACACCATGCCGCACCGCACAGCCTGCCCAGGCCGGCAGCTACCTTAAGCACCAGAGGGCTAAGGCTTAGTCAGTCCTCACCCTGACCTCCGCCCTTGCTCTGCTCTCCACCGCCCCACAGCCCCATAGCAGCCACCTGCCCCTCAGCCCAGCCACGCTAACCCACACCTGCCAGACAGCAGATCCCTCTGGCTCCTCCTTCTGCACATCTGGCACCCACACTTGTCGCTACTTAGGCCAACTCCTCCCACTCCTGCCAGTCCACGCCCCGCCTGTTTTCTCTCTGCCTCCACTCGGCCATCTCCATGCTACAAGGGACATGTGACACTCATCTCCCTCAGCCCTGTCTCTGCCCACATGTGTACACTCCTCACATCTCTGAGCCAGTCCCCTGCACACACCCCCCGCGGGCCTCTCCCCTCTGCACTCACAGCCCTGTCGGCCACTCCCTCCCATCTTGGGTTCAGAACTTCAATGCCACCTCCTCAGGCAGGCCTCCCCCACTACCACATTTGAAATTGCAACCTTTCCTGTCCCCAAGATGCTTTTCCTTATCTCTTGCTACAGCACTGACAAGCAAACATTTTTGGAGGGGGAAGAGAGAGTAAGGGGACAGGGTCTTCCCATGTAGCTCAGGCTGGCCTTGAACTCACAACCTTCCTGCCTCTGCTTCCTTCAAGCTGGTGTTACAGGCCTGCATAACCGCACAAACGTTCTGATTCCCCACCGTTGTGGACTTCAGGTGGCTTAGTCCTCACTCCAGCACCTGGGAGCACCGGGCAGGCGGGGGGTGGGGGGGGTCCTGTGTGCCATGGCGTGTCTGGAACAGCCCTCGCTGCCGGGCACTGTGCGTACTCCTGATGCATCCTACCACTCTCCAGAGGCCCACTCTGCGCAGCAGCCAGGCTGTATGGGTCACTGCCCTCTGTCAGAAGTGGGCTGGGCACATCGAATGGATGGGCTGCCCAAGGGATTGGGCAGACACCCTGCTCCAGACATCTGACCACTTGCTAAATGGCTTCACAGGAAGAACTGAGGACCTACTGGGTACTGTTGGCTCACACCTGTAATCCTAGCCACTCAGAAGGCTCAGATCTGAGGAATGCAGTTCAAAGCCAGCCCGGCAGCAAAAGTCCATCATGACACTCTTATCTCCAGTTAACCAATAGAAAAACTGGAAGCAGAGCTGTGCCTCAAAGTGGTAGTGCTAGCCTTGAGCAAAATAGCTCAGGGACAGTGAGTGCCCAGGTCCTGAGCTCAAGCCCCATGACTGACCAAAAAATAAAGACTCAAGCCTGTCCTTGTCAGTCTTAGCAGGGTAGTGGTGGGAATGGAGCAGCACCCCACTAGCCAGGCCGCTCCCTGAGGCAGGAGACTCCTCTCACCGGAGAGAGAAGCAAACAGCTGAGGCTCCCGCAGTGCCCACTGCCCAGATGAGTGCAGACGCTAGTACCTGAACTGCTCTGTGGGCTCCAAAGCTAGGGCCTTGAATCTCCCACAGACCCTTGGGGGAACCCCCCAAAACACCCTGAGCAGGGAATGTGAGCAGGCAAGACCCCACACAGCCGCACCTGGCCTTCAGCTTTGCCCAGGCCGTGGAGAGTGCTAGAGATGCCACACCACCACTGGGCTTTCAACACCCTCATCCCTACACAACACTGTAAACTTGAACTAGCTGCCAATGGCTAAAGTAACATTTCATGAGTTTTGGCTTCTCGGGCAACAAGGGAAAGGCAGCATGGGCACTCCTTCCCATGTGTGGCTGCTTCTGAGCTGTGGTGCCCTCCCTATTTGCCTCCTGGCCAACTTCACTCACTTGGTTACCTGCCTGGCCACCCAAGGCTACTTGTCTAAGTGCAAGGATCTAAGCACTCTGAACTTCGGGGCTGGAAGAGTGATGTTCACTATTGGATCACACTTGAACCGACCTCCACCCGTGGCTCCAGGAGGAAGGTGGTGAAGCAGAACCTGGCAGAGGCCTATGGCCTAGCTTCTTCCTCCCCCTGCCTCTGCCTGCCCTCCACGCAGGCTAGGAAGCTACTTCGTGCACTCCTACTACTCCACCCAAGAGGAGCCAGCCAAGTGAGCTTCTTACTGGGCACTGAGAGGGTGGCTGCATCTGAGCTCTAACTCCCTCAAAATCAGAGGCACTCCACAGACAAACGCTTTCCCTGCCCCTACTTTACAGAAGAGCATGCCATGGCTCGAAGGGCCCACAGGGGACACAGCCAGCTACTGAATAGCAAGCAGTCTGATTTGAATCCAGGTGAGAGCCCAGGTCCTACACACTTTAAGAACTATGAGCTGGGCACCGGTGGCTCTCCCCTGTAATCCTAGCTACTCAGGAGGCTGAGATCTGAGGATCTCCGTTCAAAGCCAGCCGGGGCAGAAAAGTCCATGAGACTCTTGTCTCCAATAAACCAGCAGAAAACTGGAAGTGGTGCTATGGCTCAAGTGGTAGAGTGCTAGCCTTGAGCTGAAGAGCTGAGGGACAGTGCCCAGGCCCAGAGTTCAAGCCCCATAACTGACAAAAAAAAAACAGAAAATAAAAAGAAGAAATATGACTACTGTAGCCCCCAGATCCTAGCAGGCCCCTCCCACCTCCTCCAGCCAGGCCCCACCTTGATCTTCTGTTGATAGATGTTGTCATCCTCGGCATACTCCTTGTACAGGACCGAGAGCTCCAGCCGCTCTGACACCAGAGGGTTCTGCACAGCGATCTGCAGGAGGCAGGAATCCATCATGATCTGGCAGAGAGCTGGAGTGACCCAGACCTCCCAGCCAGAACACCTACAAAAGGGTTGCTGAGCTAGTTACCAGTGGCACAGTGACTTCCCACCAAGGCATCCAGTGCCTAGCATACGCTGGAGAGGACGGGCTTCCAAAGTAGAGACAGACTAAGCCTCAGGCCCAGACAGAGCAGCCCACCAGGCAGTCCCTGGCTAAGCCCCACTCCCTTCCAGTCCCTCACCTCTTGCTGAATTCGGTCCTGCTGAGCCATAATGGCTTCATCATAGGCCAGACAGTTAACACCTAGAAAAGGGAGAAAAGTGCCAAGGGTTACTGGCTTGGCCATCTCCCCTGCCAACAATGAATTGAGCACCCCGGGAGCAGGCCAGCAGGTTTGAAATCTGGAAGCATGTGTCTTACACCTTGCTCGACCCTATTGGGTACTCTGAGCAAAGTTTCTCTCCTCCTGGCCTTTCATTTCCTCACTTTAAAATAAGGAGGTAAGGCTGGGCACCAGTGGCTCACACCTGTAATCCTAGCTACTCAGGAGGCTGCCAGCCTGGGCAAGAACATCTGTGAGACTCCTCTCCAATTAACACCAGAAAACCAGAAGTGGCGTGGTGGCTCAGCTGGTAGAGTGCTTGCCTTGAGTTGAAGAGCTCAGCACCCAGGCCCAGAGTTCAAGGCCCATGACCAACCAAAAAAAAGGAGGTAAAGGTATAATGATGCAGACTGTATTCCCAGCACTTAGGAGGCTGAGGCAGGAGGATCATGAGTTTGAGTTCTCTCTTGGCTATGTATGCTGTTTCAAAATAAGTAAAGAAATAAATGAAGGTTTGGTTGCATATGGTGATGGACACCTGTAGTCTTAACACTCAGGAGGCTGAGGTTAGATTACTTGAGCCCAGGGGTTTGAGACTAGGCTGGGCAAGATAGCAAGAACACTTCCCCTCCAAAATAAGGCAAGAGACTAGAAGATGTGGCTCAGTGGTAGAGCATACATTTGCCTAGTTCATGTGAGATCTTGGCTTTGATTTCCAGCACCATTAAAAATTAGAAAATAAACTATAACCCCTCTGTACATTACCTTTATAATAATATTAAAAAAATAAGTTGGCACTGGGGTGGGAAGGTGGCTCAGTGGTAGAGTGCTTGCCTTGCATGCATGACCCTGGGTTCAATTCCTCAGCACCACATAAGCAGAAAATGACAAAAGTGATGCTGTGGCTCAAATGTAGAGTGCCAGTCTTGAGCTGATGAGCTCAGGGACAACACCCAGGCCCAGAGTTCAGATCACACAACTGGCCAAAAAAAAGAAAACAAAAAAGTTGGCACCAGTAGTGCAGGCCTACAATCTTAGCATCTTGGGAGGCTAGGATCTGAGGATTGAGGTTCAAAGCCAGCCCAGGTAGGAAAGTCTGTGAGATTCTCTCTCTCTCTCTTTTTTTTTTGCTAGTTGTGGGGCCTGAACACAGGGCCTGAGCACTATCCATAAGATTCTTATCTCCAATAAACTACCAAAAAACCAGACATGGAACTGTGGTTCAAGTGGTAGAGCACTAGGATCGCACAAAAGCAGCTCAGTAACAAGCCAGGCACTGGTGGCTAATGCCTGTAATCCTAGCTATGCAGGAGACAGAGATCTGAGGATTTAGTTTAAAGCCAGCCCAAACAAGAAAGTCTGTGAGACCCTTATCACCAATTAATCACCAGAAAACTGGAAGTAGCACTATGGTCCAAAGTGGTAGAGTGCTAACCTTGAGCAAAAGAGCTCAGGGACTGCCTAAAGATCTAGGACCAGCACCAAAAAAAATAAAAATTAAAAAATTTAAGCTGGGCACTGGTGGCTCACGCCTGTAATCTTAGCTACTCAGGAGGCTGAGATCTGAGGATCACGGTTCAAAGCTGCTCAGGCAGGAAAGTCCCATGAGACTCATTTCCAATTAACCACTCAAAAACTAGAAGTGGTACCAAGGCTCACTAGCACTAGCCTTGAGCTGAAGAGCTTAGAGACAGCGCCCAGGCCAAGTTCAAGCCCCAAAACTAGCAAAATAAAAAAAATAAATAACTGGGCTGGGAAGGTGGCTCAGTGGTAGAGCACTTGCCTTGCATGCCTGAGGCCCTGGGTTCGATTCCTCAGCACCACATAAGCAAAAAGAAAAA